TGTGCAGTATGAACGCGAACTTGTCGAACCAAGAAACAAACAAATGAACGGAAATTTTTGGTTGAATATTTAGTGAATATGTTAAAAAATATAGTCGAACTCGAGCTCGAAAACCTTACTCTCGGCTCGATTCGAACAAATAGCGTCCCTAACTCGTTTTTGACATTCTCAAAAATCTCTAAGTGTTAATTAAAATTTCCCAACTCTTTTTTTCGGTAACATCCCTAACTGTTTTGTGTAAAACTTAGTTTAGTTAATGAATTTATTGTTTGAAAAAAAAAAGTTCATTAAAAATCCTTTAACTCGATTGAAATTCTGACTCTGAATTGAAAATCCAAAGATTCAATTGAAATCCTCACACAGAATTCCTTCACACCTCGCATAGAATTCACACTCAGAGTTCACACAGGATTTGCAATCAATTCGCACTCTCATTCTTACAATTTTTCGGGTATCAGGTCGAGTTGCTATCTTATTTTCCACGGAGACCTAGCGGGTAGCGACATAGCCTCTTACAGATTCATCTCCGTATCTCTCTCCTTGAAGCAAAGGTACTCTTTTTTTTTTATGATATATTCATGGATTCATAGTCCGAAAATATCAATATTGAGTAAGTAATTCGGACCAAAAAGAGGACAATTATTGCTCCTGCAGTTCATTGTTCTTATGGTGTCTGATGGTGTCTTTATGTTTTTCACAGACAATATGCCTGAAAATTTGAGTGTGGTTTGTAAGATATGTTCGAAACTATGCATGAATTTATCCGACAAAGTTTTGTAGTTCTTGCAAAAGTGAAGAAACACATGAAGATCATAGTTTAGACTTATGGTAGGCAGGTTCTTTTCTCTTTCTTCACAACCAAACCTTTATTCAACTGGTTCCTTGACTTTTTATGGCACAAGACAAGATACTTTGCTGCTAGCTATTGGCTCAATTGCTTTTCTGGTTTTTCTTGATGCTCTGTATTTTTGCCAAAAACTCGAATTTAACAAGCTAAACATTCAACTTAACAACTTACTTTCATCTTTAAGTTACAAAGGCTTTGATGGGGTCTGCCTTTTGAATGATGTGATGAGTGTTTTGTTCATCAAATAAACATCTTTTCTAGTTACTAATTCATTCTTTCCAGTATTCACAAGAAGCAACAGTCTAAAATTTTGTAAAAGTTAAGGTAGATAAAAGATGAACCTGGATCAAGAACTCGACTTTGGTCTTGTCATAAAAGTTAACCTTGGTCATATGAATTGCTTAAACTTAAAAAAAAAAATAACTGTCTTATGAGTTGATATTGCTTAGACTTCAACTGTTCAACACATTATCCAGTTTAACCATAGGGAGTGTTCAGAAAAGCTAGTGCTTTTCAAGGAAGTTATTTATCGTAGTTACATGTGGTTTAAGAATAAGAAATTGGTAACGTGTGCAGATAGAAAGTGGAAGTTGACTTCATCAGGATGAATAAGCTGCTAAAGGGTTTATTAGATTGTAATTGAAACCAAAATCCAAACACTTCAAGCCGTCATAGTTTCATAAACATAATTTGGAGGGGGGAAGGAAGGGAGGGGGGGAGGGAGATGGACTATGTCTATCAGTGTGGAACATATTTTGATGACTCTTGTCAGAATACTTATATATGATCGTACATTACTACTTTCTTATTTTGGGGCAGGTGGAGTGGGGTGTGGGTTGGGGGTTGATAAGATGATTCTCTTTAAACAGTTTACCTTTAGATCCTATAATATTGAATTATTTGTTATCTATCTTTATCAATAATAGGTGGAATTTGTAGCTCAGGAAAAAAGAACTTACTTTAGATGCTTTGGGGCACAAGATTGAGGTTTGGTCCATACAGTAGAAATTTAGTAATAGCTGATGAAACTTTTTGTAGGTGTTGGAAGTGATATTTTTTGTCAGAATTTGCTAATTATACGCTGGGTTATTGGTCTCCGTCAGCAAGTGCCTATAGGATATTAAACGTCTGTTGCGTGTTGATTAAAAGTGCTTTCTTCATGCTCAGTAATGTATTTTTCTTTTTTTTATATGATGTTAAATAATTTAATATATTATTTATTCTACATAAGGTTTTTCTGCTGTTATTTTGATCATGTAGGATTTTTTTTATATTTTTTATTTTTATTCCTGTTTTTGGTTTACCTTTGGATGGCTATCTGTACACTGATGCTTGTGCAAGGAAAGTCCTATTTTTTCAGTTATGTCATTATTATTTCTTTTGGGTTTTACACAATAGGACTTATTCTAGACTTTCTAGTACAACTTAACCTTGTGTCGAACAAATATTTTGTATTTTGAAATTCATTTTGTATAATGAACAGTTCTTCATTTGGATCACGTTTGAAAATGTCCTTTTCTAGTGTAGTATGAAAGAATCCTGGTTTCAGTTTGATGTTAGACTCACTGTTTGAAAATGTCCTTTTCAAGTGTAGTAAGAAAAAATCCTGGTTTAAGTTTGATGTTAGACTCACCGTTATGACGCTAAATGATGCATGTGTTTCTAAAATCTAGAATTTGTTGTTGAAAATCATTGAGGTTTCTTATTTTAGAAACATGATTTGTTAACAAATGGATGTAGTGATACCTTTGAGATGCATATAAATCACCATTTCTCTGACAAGGAGAATTTATTATCGGACTTTATTCTATAGTACTGTACTTACAAAATGTGGAAAACTTAAAGACATTTGTTCCTATTGGGATGTTCATTGCAATAATATTTATTAAAATAACACACAAGCACACACACATGTATATACATATATGTATTGTAATTACGTGAATACTGTATAAATATATATTATACAAAGAGGGAAACTATAGAAGAAATGAGAACTAAGATAAGAGGGGATGAATAGTTATATATATGTAATATATTGTATCTAACATGTATCAACTGGAAGCTAAGCTAACAATCACTTTTTTAAGTGATTTCAAAATACTCCCTAGTTTTCCCAAACAGTATCACTTGTTAAGTGCTCCCTTTTTCCCTTTTAACTCCAACCGCTAATTCTCTATATATGTACATATTAATGCGTTTTTTGTTGAATATATGTAGAAATAGAGAATGGATAAGAGTTGGATGCAGGCTAAAAAATTTTCAAAAGCTTACATAGACGGGGTAAACATTTTTATGAGATTTGTAGAAGCTCATTTGGGAAAGGTATGCGAGATTCGATGTCCGTGTACAGGCTATTTGAACTTATCTTTTAAAGATCAAAAGACGGTTAAAGGTCACATTTTGATGCATGGGATAGATCCAGGGTATGTCACGTGGTTTTATCACGGTGAACCAATCTCAAGTAACCGAGCGAGTCAGCATGCTAATGTGGAAGATGAACATCATTCTGGGTCAATGCACCAAAATCATGATGAATATGAAGACGACGGTGTTACCGACAAGTTATTCTGACCTTGGGGAGCAGTACTATCAACGTGATACACATGATGGGAATAATATAAACACAGGCGGAGGAGTTTCAGCATATCTTGAGGCATTGATGAAAGATGCCAAAGCAGAATTATACCCAGGATGTAAGAAAATCTCAAAGACATCTTTTATCATCCAATTGCTCCACTTGAATGTTTATAATAAACTGAGTAATAAAGCAATTGATATGTTATTGAGTTTGATAAAATTAGCATTGCCGGATGGAGAGTCACTTCCAAGTTCTTATTACGAGGCTAAAAGGTTTTTGCGAGATCTTGGATTAGGATATGAGTGCATTCATGCTTGTAAAAATGATTGTACGTTATTCTGGAACGAGAATAGGAACCTGGAGAGTTGTCCTATTTGTGGATCCTCTCGGTGGAAAGTTAACGACAGCGTAGGGAAGAAGATACTAAAAAAGATTTTAAGGTATTTTCCTTTAAAACCCAGACTCCAGCGCCTTTTCATGTCTGAGAAAGTATCAAAGAAAATGGTGTGGCATAAAGAGAAACGCATTGATGATGACTATATGAGGCATCCTGCGGACTCCCTTGCATGGAAAGATTTTGACGGTGAGTTTTCTTGGTTTGCAAAAGATCCTAGAAATGTTCGACTTGCTTTGGCTGCAGATGGTTTTAATCCATTTGGAAACTTAAGTACCACTTACAGCATGTGGCCGGTAGTTCTTGCTCCATTAAATCTCCCACCATGGGATTGCATGAAACAACCGTTCTTTATGTTGTCTTTGCTTATTCCTGGGAAAAAGTCACTTGGAAAAGACATTGATGTCTACCTGCAACCACTGATTCAAGAGTTGAAAACATTATGGGTTGATGGTGCACAAACCTTTGATGTTCGGCGTAAAGAAACTTTCAATTTACATGCTGCTGTTTTGTGGACAATAAATGACTTTCCAGCATATGGGGATCTGTCTGGGTGGAGCACAAAAGGTTACATGGCCTGTCCCACGTGCAATGAGAAGACACATTCTTTGAGATTGCGTAATAATATTTGTTACATGGGACATCGACGCTACTTACCGAGAGATCATCCTTGGAGGAGAAGTAAGAAGTTTGATGGAAAAAGAGAAGACAATGTGGCACCTCGAGATTTAAGTGGGGAGGATGTGTTAATGCAACTACGAGGATTACAAAATGTAACTCTAGGGAAACATGTCAACAAGAAAAGGAAGCGACACCCCGAGGAGTTAAATTGGACTAAACGCAACATTTTCTTTGATTTGCCTTATTGGAGTAAGTTGAAATTAAGGCACAATTTAGATGTAATGCATATTGAGGAAAATATATGTGAAAGCATCTTAGGAACCTTGATGAGTGCAGATGGGAAAACAAAAGATACACTTAATGCCAGACGAGATTTAAAGGACATGAAAATACGCAAAGAGTTGCACTTGATCAATTCAGGCGATGGAAAACATGTGATGCCTGCTGCTTGTTATGTAATGAAAAAAA